TTTTCCCATAAAAAACACTTGAACAGCTTGTGTCGTGCGTAGTCGAACTACGTTTGCTCTGATCTTCCATGCCGTGTGGAAGTACGTAGGCACAGGACGCGATGTCCTGGCGAGCAACCTTCCCCCCTGTCTAGACGTAGGTAGTCGAACTACGTTGACTCTGACTTTCCCATTGCACGAGGGAGTACGTAGGCCCAGAACACCGTATGTTCTGTCGAGTCCTGTCCTTTTCTTTTCTTTTCAGACTGACCACTAGCGTAGATAGATAAACACACCCTTTTCCTTATAAACACCAAGCGTGGATCCCGTCGAGTACGACGGACGTGAGGGGTGCTAATACCTTCCCCTTGCGTAACCGACTCCCGAATCCAGGTTTTGGTCGCGATGACCATACCTTTCCCGTGTTTTGCGAGGTTTACTTCGAGCGTTTCCTTTCCCTCCATTGGGATGAATAACGCACGGTGGCGACTCTTCTGTCAGTCGGCGCCGATTTTCGCAGTAGCGGCACCCTTTGATTAGAAAACAAGCGTGGATCCCGTTGAGTACAACAGACGCGAGGGGGTGCTAATACCTTCCTCTCGCGTAATCGACTTCCGAACCCTGGATTTGGCTGCGACGACCATGTCTTCTCCTTTTTTGAGGTTTTCTTTAATCATTTCCTTTCCCTTCATTGGGATAAATAACGTTCGGTGGCGACTCTTCTATTTTTCCTGTCAGGTGTTTTTTTGCAGTTGCGACAGCGTGGAGTCTCCAATATATGAAGGTTTGGAATTGGGAGGTTCTTCGACACCACTTCTTTCTATCCATTTTCTTTATTTAGGTTTTGTACTTGGCTGATACTAACTACGTTACTTTTCTTTGCAGATGTAAAAATTTCAGCTAAGAAACATACTCCCGTTGAAAAGGAAGCCGTCGAAGAAGAAGAAGACAGCACCAAGAAAACCACCACCAAGGTAAAAATTTGTGCTCATTACTTTTATCTTTTCAGAAAAAGTAAAAAATAATATTTTCAAACACAATAGTATTGTCCCACTGGGCGTGCCAATTTGTTTACTGTGAAAATAGATAAACAACCGCTGGTCTTACAAAATTTTGTTTGCTTGCAGGATCAACCAATGAATCCTAAGGACATATCTATTGATTAATGTATTTCTAGAAAATTGATGAACACTTCGACAATATTCCTTAGTGTAAAATGATTGTTTTGATTGTTTGTCGAAAAGATTAAACTTTACAAAAGTTTACAAAGAAAATGCAGTGAAGAAAATAACTCCAAAGTAAAAAAAAAATACAGTAAAGAGCAATTGATAAAAGAAAGTAATTCTTATTGAATAAAATGAATGGTGTTTCACACGTACATTTCTCAACAGTAACTCTTTTCTCACGCTAACTTAGATATATTGAGTAAATTTTGAGTATAGTACAACAATTGAACACACGAAATCCTAATACTAAGACCCCTATTTATAATACGTCGAAATAACTGTCTCCAATGAACATTTCTCCAAAAATTGACACATTTCGCCCTTCATGCCTTCGTTTCGCCATAGTTCTCCACGCGTCTCTCTTGAGAAACGGAAAAGGACAAAAGACGGTTATCTATCAGTATTTTGAAATTCAAATTTATGTCGAAGGAAGGCTTCAAAACATTCCTTCGTCGAAGTGACCTTCTATATTTAGAAAATTTCTAAGTTTTGTCCAAGCATATCTCCTTATGAGAACCACTTCGACAGAACTTCACATTAACTTCTATCGGAGTCCATCAAATTGAAGAAACTTTAATTTTCACTTAGTTTCTCAAATGAGAACATGACGTCGAAATTCTCAGCCTACAGAAACCTAACCTTTTTTTTAACCCCTTTAACCTCTTATGTGTTTGTGTTTCTATAGATAGCCTTGACTTGAATTGGTCAGTTATGTTGATACTGATATAAATCAATTGTGAGTTCTTACTATTTTAATAAACATTACATCCTTAATTATCTGGAGGATTAATAGTGTTTTTTTTTAAGTAGTAGAACATTTGCTTTTATGACTTAGGCAACACAATAGGTAATGAGCTTGTCTAACCACTTGATCGACTTAGGTGGGATGTTAACTAGACACTAATAGCTCATTTCCAGCCATGACTAACAGTTACGAGGAGTTTAACATACCGAAAATTAGTTTATGATCATTAAGTTTAGGCAAGAGAACATCAGCTAATAGCCGTCAGGATTTTTCTGAATGTTACGTTTATATGAAAAGATAATAAAATTGATTGACATCTACTATCTATCTAATACTATACTATTGAGTGGTTTCCCTAAATTACCCTTTTAATAAAATTATTTTACACTTGCAAAAGGCTTTTTCAGTAATTAACAAAAGACACATTTTATTCACTACTTCCTCCTCTTTGCTGTCCACATGTCAACCAATTATTTGTCTACAGGATACTAAATATTACCCCCCAAAACTATTAATGCATCGGATGACATAATTACTCTTATGCCTACTCTCTGTTTTTAAAATTCAAAATTTTACAGTTTCCCACTTTTTCATTATTCGTTCATTCTATCACCTACTTTATCCGTTTTCCTCACATAACACCCTCCTCTGTTCCCTTTTATGGCAGTAAAATATCTCCTCACCATTCTCTCATGAACCAAAATATCTCTTCACTATTCTCTCATATACCAAATATCTCATCTTCATCAACAACAAAACACAAACACTTACTCTCTCCTTTCCATTCATCACTATCTCACATAATCTCCATCTACACAACTACACCAATCTCATCCTCTTCCTCCAAACTTCACAGCACAACCTTAAACTTTCTATACACATCAAACAACAACATAAACTCTAACTCTTATCTACTCTAAACTAAAACTCATTAGCACAACCTTCGTCACTTTCATCAAACCACAACATAAACACAACAATTTCATCATCTTCATTTTCATTACAAACAACACAACATCATCACTATCTTCTTCATCTTCATCACAAATAACACACCACAATAATACAACATAGAACCACCATTTTTGAAACACTCCTCACCACCACCGTGAACAGTGCACGGACAACCCCAACAACCACCATCATCAACTGCCGGCCATAAGAAAAGATAGGTAAGAAAGAGTTGTGTGACTTCTATTTTAGTTGATGTTGTTAAAATGATTTTGGAGAGTTTTTTATTTTATTTTAAATTTAAGATGATGAAAATGAACAATAGTTGCTGCAATTTCTTTCTAAACGAGGAAAAAAAGGAAGTCATAGTATTTCCCACTTTTTCAGTTTTTTATATGTACACCATGTATTTGATAAAATTATGATATGGATTCTCATCAACATTAGTTTTTCTTAAAAATATTATTGTTTCTTTCCTTTATTCATGAATGTTTTTAAACATTTTATTTATTTATTTTTTATTTATTCTGCATAAATTTATTATTTTAGGAATATTGACCCAAGAGTTTTACCATGTGAGATGAAGAATCGTCTAAGGTTCTTTTTCTTATATTTTTGTTTTTTTTAGGATATTCATATTCAATTTTTGATTCTAAATTTTATTTTTTGTTTTTTCATTATGATTGTGACAATAATTTATTCTAATTATTTTTATTTTCTTTGAAACTTGTAGGCAAACAACAACATAACTCTTCACCAGCCTAAAGAGTATAAAAGTAAAGGTGAAATGATACAATTTCTTTCCATTCAATTGTATTTTTTTTTATATTTTTATTTAGGTCACAACAGTAGTAATAAGTAGAGGTGAAATGACTACTCTTCATGACTTTATTTTAGACTATCTTACTTAATAATGATACAATTGTTGATAATGATATATAATAACTATCTTACTTTCATTTTTGTTGTTTTTATTTGTAATTAAGAATTATATCTTTTTTTATTATTTCAATTTTACGGTATTTTTTTTAATCATTTTACGGTAGTTTTTTACGGGTCACTATCAGCACAATATATATTTTATTTTAATAAATAATTATCTTAATTTAAAAGATAAAATTCTTATTTTTAAATATTAAATTTTTTTATTTATTTCACGAGTCCCTTTTTTCTCTTTGTATTTTAATACAATTGAATTTGTATAATTATTGTTTATTTTAAATTTAATATTTAATTTCAAATATAAATACATTTTATATCGTACTAAATTTATACATACATTTAAATATATTTAGTACCATATCAAATAATTTTACTCGTACTTTTGCACAAGTATCTTGGTAGTTAATACAATAATGACTACATAACTATTAGGGGAAGGGAAGAAAAACAGTTATAATAGGGAGAGAGATAGCATAGATGAAGGAACAAACACAAAACATAGAAACTGAGACACTCTATACTATCAATTTACATAAGATACAGTACAATTTTCAAATACAATGTATATATAATCGGAAGGAAAAAAAACTAATTAAGACCTTAACTTCGATTTGGCGATAGATTTCAGTATTTCCTTTTGATTTAGTAATGGAGAGAGGAAATGAAGCGATATCAACTCTTTGATTGAGATTATAAAACTGTGCTCTATTCCATAATAGTTACGCAGTGACAAATCATACGACTTTGGACCTCATGAAAATTTTAATGTCCGGCAGAGATACAGGCACTCTAGCACATTTTCATTTTGGCAGCGTGATTAGCAATTTCTTGATTTATTATCCGCAGTATTCAAATAAATAAAATAAATAAATTATTATAACAATTAGGATTCCAAATCAACCAATCATGTTTAACATACCTGAGAGACTTTCATTTTACATTATCATATAGTAGTGGTATTTCTGGTAGTTGATAAATCATCTTCCAAAAATAGTTAAAAATAAAAATAGAAACAAAGACGAAAATTCAAAGCTGACGACTAACAACAGTCCAAAGCTCAAGTCTTCTCTTCCACTTATCTAAGTCTCCTTCGTTGGTTCTCCTCTCTACTTTGCAATCATTAATATCATCATAGCTTCAAAAATTCATCAACACCCATGGCAATTCGACACTCTATGCTTTTTCTTACATTTCTTGTTCAATTCTCATCATTACAATTCCCCTCACTCGGATTATACAATCTCCAAGACACTTACTTCATCAATTGCGGATCAGATACCGACGTTACAGAAAGTAACAACGATTATATTGGAGAATCCAATCCTTCCTACCCTAAAACAATATTTACCAAAAGCTCCATAGAAACAAATCAATCAGCACTGCTTTCACCTCTCTACCAATCTGCAAGAATTTTCAATTCTGAATCTTCCTACGAATTCACTACAGTCCCAAACAACACCTACACGGTACGTTTACATTTCCTTTCAATATCTTCACCAACTGACCTTTCCACTGCAAAATTCAATGTTTCTGTTCCCGGTTTCTCTCTGTTACAAAATTTCGACGCCAAAAACACCACAAACTCTCCCTTAATTAAAGAGTATTTTGTCAAAATCATTCGAAAAAGATTCAAAATAACTTTCACACCTCAAACATCTTCATTCGCTTTCGTTAACGCAATAGAACTCTTCATGCTCCCTATTTATTTTATCCCCGATTCCATCGCACGTTTCAATTACATTAGTTCTTATGGTCAAGCCCTATCTACTTATACCGGCGGTTTACTCTCCCGAGCTTTGGAAACCAAGCACCGACTTAATGTTGGTGGCAGTGTTGTCGATAGAGAACATGATAACTTGTCGAGAAATTGGTTACCAGATGACAGTTATATAACTAATCCACAGAACGCAAAGAATAGTTCCTTTAGTGGTGATATAAAACGCACTGCAAATGATGAATCTGATGGTCCAAATTCGAATAAATATATTGCTCCAGATGTTGTTTATCAAACTGCCAGAGAGAGTAAAAACGGTTCTATAGGTTTAAACATAAGTTGGAGTGTTCCCTTGCAGGAGAATACTGATCATTTTGTTAGGCTTCACTTTTGCGACCTGTTAAACCCACAGACTGGTCTTACAGCTTTTTTTCTCTTCATTTATGACACTTATGTTATAAATATAAATGATGACTCAAGATTGTCATCTGAGTTGCATGATCCTTATTATTATGATTTTGTGGTTCGCTCCGATGGCACTGGGCTATTGAAGATTACTGTGAGACCTAATGTCACAGATTATGTACCAAACGCGTTTTTAAACGGTCTAGAACTAATGAAAGTGATTGAATCATCCGGTTTAATTCCCTTAGATGATTTGGATTCGAATTCAAAGTTTAGTCTTCCTGTGGTGGTGGGTTCGGCCGTGGGAGGTTTAGTTCTGGTTTCTTTTGTGGTGGTTGTGTTTCTTTGGATTATTAAAATCAGGAAACAAAGGCCTGTTGAGAATTCTAGTTGGTTGCCCGTTCGAGCGGCTGCGGGATGGAGTAGTCATAGCAGATTAACTGATGGAACAACAGTTCAAGGCTCACCTCTACCTAACATAAACCTTGGATTGAAAATCTCCTTGCTTGATCTTCAACTTGCAACGGAGAATTTCAACGCGGATAAGATAATTGGAAAGGGTGGTTTTGGAATTGTTTATAAGGGAGTTCTCAGGAATGGGAAGAGTGTGGCAGTGAAAAGAAGTGAACCAGGATCAGCTCAAGGACTTCCTGAATTTCAAGCTGAGATAATGGTTTTGTCCAAAATTCGTCACAGACACCTTGTTTCCTTAATTGGGTATTGTGATGAAAGGTTTGAGATGATACTTGTTTATGAGTACATGGAAAAAGGGACACTTAGAGATAGTTTGTACAACACAAATTTGTCTAGTTTTTTGACTTGGAAGCAAAGACTTGAGATTTGCATTGGTGCTGCTAGAGGTCTTCATTATCTTCACAAAGGAGCAACTGGTGGAATCATTCACCGCGATGTGAAATCCACAAACATATTGCTTGATGAGAATCTTGTTGCTAAAGTTGCTGATTTTGGTCTTTCAAGAACCGGTCCTCTTGATCAGCATTCTTATGTCAGCACAGGTGTTAAAGGAACTTTCGGGTATCTCGATCCAGAGTACTTTAGATCACAACAGCTTACAGAAAAATCTGATGTTTATTCATTCGGCGTGGTTCTTCTTGAAGTGCTGTGTGCAAGACCAGCCATTGAACCGGCGCTTCCAAGGGAACAGGTGAACTTGGCTGAGTGGGGAGTTTTTTGCAAAGACAAAGGGATATTGGAAGATATCATAGATCCTTCTATTAAGGGACAGATTGATCAAAACTCACTAAGAAAATTTAGTGAGACAGTAGAAAAATGCTTACAAGATGATGGCAGTGATAGACCTTCAATGGGCGATGTGTTGTGGGACTTGGAATATGCTTTGCAGCTTCAGAGAGGTGCAATACACAGAGAACCTCATGAGGATAGTTCCAGCAGTGCTTCTGTATCAATTCAATTGCCTAATGTTCGCCGTTTTCCTTCACTGTCTACACTGAGTGAAATTGATGACATGTCTATCGGGAGGGTTACTGATGAATCAGTTAATGCAGAGGATTTAGTTTTCTCTCAGTTGAAAACTGATGATGCTAGATAGTACTTTTCTGTTTTGTCCTTATTTACTTGTATTTTTTTATCCTTAGTTATGGTAGTTGGTGTATTCTCAATTGTAAGATAAATTAGTATGATGCCTATTATTTTTTATGCTTGTAATAAATTAATGATAATTAGGTGTATTATATATATCAGCTTGTTGCTCGTTTGCATTGTATGCTATTTCTGTTTATATATAACAAATACATTCATATTTTTTTAAAAAAAGTTAAATTTATTTCATATTAAAAAGTCTTGTTACTTCCACATGATGGTGACACCTACCTCAATTGAGATCAAAACATATAGTAACATTATCATGATCATGCCTATTTTATTGTTATTGTGGGATACATCTGTGTTATAAACCTTACATTGTTTATTGATTCAATTAAGACACTTAAGACTTCTAATAACAGTTAAGATACCTTATATAGACTTAAGTGACACTTCCCATATATATTATAGTTTACTTTACATTTACAAATAGGCTTGTTTATATGAATCAAACCATAAACAAGAAAATAAAAATCAAACCAGTAACAAACTAATCATTAACTGAAACATTATATGTTAGTGACCTGAACCTCTTCTGCTTGGTCCAGAAGTCATGGTATGGAATTGGCTATCAACCAAAATCCTGTTTTTCATCATCGTATACTCGGTGTCGATCTTCTCTGTTGTCATTGAAGCTTTGAGATGCTGAACGTCTTTGATAGGTTCATGACTGGTTTTTTCTGTCTTTGTTGGTGATTGAAGGATTCTAGAGCTTACAAAGCAAGGCCTTGTAGCGGCGAAAACTGCAAAAAAGACTAGAACTAAAACATAGAACTTCATTTTTATGGTACAACTTCAAGGTAGGCTTCAAGCAACCTTGAAGTACCTTGAAGTGTTTTACTAACCCAAAGGAAAGAGGTGGAGCTAAAATGATTTGTTTGGCATCTTGTGATGGGCAAGGCAAGTTATGAGAAGAGAGGGATGAGGCTTTTACATATTAAGGAAGAGGAGGGAAGGGGAAAATGGACGGTTGAGGGCTAATGCATTGTGTGTGGGGCCTATTGAAAGGAGTTGTTGACTCAAACTGTTTTTCTGTTATTCAAGTAGGGTCAAACCTATTGAAGTTATTATAGAGTCGCAAAATCTCAGTTTTTATTTTATTTTATTTTATTATTTTCTTTTTTACTTTTGTTGATGTGTTGTGTAAATGTGAGTTAGAAGTAGGGATACGAATACGTCAAACTGTCTAACATGATTTATTTAAGTTTAGTATGACATGTTTAATAAAAAAGTTAGACTTAAAATTTTAGAAAAAATTATTTCATTAAATAGGGCACACTTATACTATTAAAAAATATATATGAAATTCGATAGAAGTTTTAGTAGATATATTATAATTTTAAAACTCCTACTTTAAAATAAATTTATTTATTTATTATGTAAGCCTACCATTGGACAGCTATATTTGTAATCAATTGGAGCAAATGCATAGAACTATTAAGAATTGAATATATTTCTTAGTGGGAAGTCTATCATGTTTAAAGAGCATTATAAAAAGATTTTTACCCTTTACTTAGTCTAAAAGAAAATTGTCTTTTTGACAGAATATGGCTAAGATTAGGAAATACCAAGGGTCCATGTCTTTCCCAAGTTTCTGGTGCATACACATTTAGCCTTAAAAGTGAGTAGCAAGATCCGGAAGTGGAGTTGGAATCAACAACATGCTAGCTAAGGTGGTGATTAACCAACGGAGTTTTGGCACTAGTTAACAACATCCTCACAAATTGCACTTAAAAGGAAAGATATCAAGATTCTCCAATTTATAAATTCTATGGATAGAAAAATAATTGAATGAATTTGTCCTTTCAAAAGGGTTATACTATTTCACATGGGTTTTCTAGGAAATTCTATAGGAAAATCTTTTTCTCAAGTTAAGAAAAAAAATGTGGAAAGTATCTTCAATTATAGAACAATTGACCCTTGTAAGTGTGTACGGATCTATGGAGAGATCAGAGATGGGAGGTGTGTGTGCCCTTAATTATTTTATTCCTTTTGTTCACTTTTTGCAATTGATGGACGACATAGGGTGCATCATAGTTCAAGATAGCTAGAATCTTCAATTGGTGGTTTCTAATATATATATATATATATATTTAAAAAAAATATGTAAGGGTGTGGACTTGAAGAATTTGGCCTACTTGAAAAGAAATTGGGATGTCTACCCTTGTGATGCATTGAAAAAAAAAAAAAAGTCACGTTGAAGAATAATTATTTTTTGTTACTTTGAAAAAATCTAAATTAGCAATAAATAAAATGTCATGTTGAAGAATAATATATTTTTTTTACTTTTGGAAAAAAACTAAAATATCAATATAGAAACAATATAAGAATGTCTTTCAGAAATTAAATATATGAGGCTATGCTTAAATCTGGAGCAACATTTAATTTATTTATATTTATATATTAATATAAATAAATTATTGATATTCATAAAACAATAAATTATTTTAAAAAATAAAATTTAAAAAAGTAAGTCTACCCTTGTGATGCATTGAAAAAAAAATCCCACCTGAAGAATAACATTTTTGTTGCTTTTGAAAAAACAAAATCTAAATTAGCAAAATATAGAACCAATATCACAATGTTTTTTTACAAATTAAATAAATTTATTTATAAGTCTATAAAAAAAAGTAGGATAACATAACCGGTCATAGAAAGATATTCATTTATAGTTTTTTTGGTTCTAAACTTTGTCAATATCAAGTCAACAATTTGCTCCTATTAAACATATCTTTTATGTATCATGCCAGTGAACAATACGTGGTTTCGCATCTTTTAAATATTGCACAGGACTGCCAACCAACAACCATCATTGATTTTCATCTTCAAACTACCCTTCAGTTGGAGTAGGGATCTACTGAAGTGTTAGAGACGCAAAATTTGCCTCAACAAATAACACTCCTAACCAATTGCAGGTTCTTCTCCACACCTCTTTACTTATGCTGCATTGGAAGAACAAATGGACAAGTTCTCATCTTTAACAAAACAAAAAACACAACATCTATTATTCCGATCTTGGATAATATTTCTCTTTGCTAATTGGCCGCGAGTCGGGAGTTTGTCAATGAAGACTAAAGGTGAGAAAAATATACACAAGAAGGGGGGTTGAATTGTGTATGAAAACGTTTACTTCTTTTTCGTAAATTTGTTTTAGAACTTAAGATGTCAAACTCATATTTTGATCCAAGTAAGAGGTTGTATCATATCAGAGTCTGACTTCAGGGTTTGTTACACAACAGAATATTACAACAGAAGTAAATAAAGAGACACATAATATATTCTGGTTCCTCTCAAATGAGGTAGTCCAGTCCCCTTACATCATAAGAGATTATTATAATCATTCAAATTACAATTACTTAAACCGACAACTGAAGACTTCTTGCTCAACCAAACTAGAATGAGACTTCCTTGCTTAAACCATAGGTTCAAGACTTCCTGCTCAATCACACTAGAATGAGACCTACTCGCTTAAACCCTAAGTTCAAGACTTTCTGCTCAATCACACTAATTGAGACTTTATTGCTTTTCCCTCAAGCATGAGATTTCAATGCTCAATCACATTGATCGAGACTTCCTTGTGAGTGCAAATTTCCGTTAGATATATTTTGAATGATGTCAAAACGAGGATGCTTTAGCGCTAATGTACATTGGATAGTATCCTCTGATTCTATATGTGCATCTTACCATTAGGAAGTATTAAAATATTTTGGAAAAGGTTCATACTTCAAAAATGCATTAAAAACATAATTTTATGAAAAGCATTCAGTATGTGTCGACACATAGAATCTTCAAGTCGACACATAACAAGAAAAAATTTCGATGTGTCGACACATAGAACCTTCAGGTCGACACACATGTTGTATGAATAAAGCATGTAGGCTCTGTCCATGTCCTGACTTTTTTAGGTCGACACAAGATCTTCATAGATCGACTTAAGACCTTTAGAGGTTAACATAAGACCTTTATAGGTCGACACATAACTTTAATAGGTTGACACATACGATGCATTTTTCCAAAATTCACATTTTTTCATTCTTTTGCATTCATTTTGCTTCCGAGCTTGCATACATATAAATACTTAATACATGCATCATTTCTAGGAAGGTTCTAGAGTAAACCTATACGAAATCGGGATTTCAAAGCATTCCCATCATCTTCAACCTCGCTTCTATGCATACACACAATCAAACTACACATAATCATTTTTTGATTGGGCGACCATCTAGATTAGGATTGATAACGTCTAATTAGGTTGTTGCACCGAGAATATTGGGTTGAGAAATTTGAGGATTTTGAATAAGAAAACCGAGTTGGGGTTTTCCTTTAAGTTCGTTGAAGATTTGAAGGTTTTGGACAAGATCACACAATTCAGATTCGGTCGAGTGAAAACCTTGGGAAAAGAGGTGCCTTGCAAGAGAGTAGCGTGAAACTGTGGATCGTATTGGTAAATCTTGGGTTTCAATAAGTTTACACTTGGGATTAATTCAACCGGGTGAAAGCCTTAGGACAAGGAGAGTCTCGCAAGAAAGTAGAAATAACAGGTGAATTGAAGAGACATTGTTGGTCAACAAGTGTGTACTTGGGATTAATTCAGTCGGGCGAAAGCCTTGGGACAAGGGGTTCCTTTCAAGGAAGTAGCAAGAACAGGTGAATTGAATCGACATTGTTGGTTACTTGATCAATCTTTGATTAAGGGTTGAGGTGGATGAATCAACAACAAACCTATGGTTTTTAGGGTTAGAGTTCTTCATCTCTTGTATACATACATTTGCGAAGTAATATATATTATACTACCTCAATTCGAATTTGAATTCAGGACAGACGTACCCATATCGAGCCCGATTAGGGAACTTCCTAAATAAATCCTTGTGTCCTATCTTTATCTCTCTCTATCTCTTTTAAATTTGTGTTAGCAAATTATTGAATTCGTTATTGGTTTGATCAATT